GCCCTTGGGAAATCCTGCATAATGCAGCTATCATGCGCATGAGCTTCATCATGCTACAGTTGAAGGTTACACCCAAACACTCTGTTTTCATGTACTGTAGCTCTAGATGTACATGTAGGTCCAAAAGGCTGCGACTCTCCTTTGTGAACATCACCTCAAATACAAACAGAACCACCTCCATAGCTACTTTTAAACTGCGAGCTCTCGATTAAAAGCAATCGTGAGGTGTTCCGATGTCCCTGGTGATATTTTGAGCTAAATTGAGAGGATATACGCTGATGAACAATTGGGGCAAAGAATTTGCACAAATACTCACGATAAAGGCGTCATTATCATGATTGTTTCTTCCAGTGCTTCGATGTTCGCTGGCCGTTCTGATTTCTTGGAAATTCATCGCCAAAGAATATCACATGACTTGTACATTAAAGCTGTTTGGATTAGTAGCGTTGATTGTTTCCCGCATGGTCAAACCATGGTTCGACTCCCAGCTTTTCCGAAATGATATTTTATTTTTTGTTGTACTTTTATTCTGCACTGAAAATACTGTTATTAACGATGTTATTTTAATATATAGGCATTCATAATCTTGTCAGTTGTCGAATTTATAAAAATAAAAATACAACCAAATATTGCGTTTTACATAAAGATCAGACTTTAATCACGCGGTAGTATCTCTTCGGGACGTATCGAAACCACTCCGTCCCGAAAAAACCGTTAATTTGAATTTAAAACCTACCCCAGTGTTTGAAAATCAAGGATTGTGAGTCTCAAACTTCACCGTTTTTCTTCAAACTTGTTCCGTACAAAGCTTCACAGAAATACCTTTCAGTCGATACATTGTTTTCGTGTACAAAGTACCTCGTTTTAGCGGCGTTTTGGTCCCCAGCTGCGAGATAAAGCAAATTTTCATAATTTTCAACTGTAAGTCAAGTTATCTCGCCAGGCTTTTACCCATTCTCGCTCATAATTTCAGAATGGACTCCCATTACAACCTTCCATCGCTACGTTTTGATTTTTGGGCATCAAACGCAGCAGTTTCTAAATCATCCACACATCTCTTAAAATTTGACTAATACGTCCCGTCACCTTCCACTACGCCCCGCCGAGTCTATGACTACAAACGTGGAGTTTACATGGGGAGGCGGTAATAGAATCTGAAGCAGGTCCTTTACCGGGATAATAGTTTCAATAATGCAGTAGCAGGTTTCGTGTAATTGGTGACAAAATATACTTTTACATGATACTGTCCCCTCCATAAGTTTGGCAACCTTAGCATTGTGTTAAAGCCTATTTATGTTTGAATTTTTATCTACATAACCTGCGGGGGAAATACTTATAAAATTGACGGAAATATAACTTGACTTTATTCCCAATACCTCCAAATTTTCTTGATGTTTTTCCTCAATTACAATAGATCGGAAAAGGATGATAAATCTGATGAATTTTTGAAAATCGACATTCCCATGTAAACCCATGAGAATTGATATGTTTGTCGCATGCCATACGACAGAATATCCATCAATCTGAGTACTAGCAAAAAGTACAAGTTAGGTACAGTAGACAGCTGAATTTGCTATCTTTATTTAACAAAAAGTTGATACGTTTCTTCAGGTTCAACAAAGTTATAGGCTAGGGTTGTCCAAATCTGCAAAATTTTCCAAAAATCTGTCATCTGATAGATTCTAGTTACAAATTGACTCTTGGTACAAATATTTCCACTCTAGACCCCTGGGAAATTTTGCCACGCGTCTCACTTGAAGTTTTGGTAATTTTGACAAATATGCCGTTTTCATAAATGGTTTATAACTCAAAATTAAACTGTTGTATTTCAGGAATATGTATTTTTTCTTCATCATGTATAATTTTCAATAAGCCTACAGGCACCACTTTTTTTTAGCTAAATCCATCGGGAAACTTTGCCACGCTTAATTTCAAAATAACGGAGATGTTATCAAAATTGAGCAATATTGGCACAAAAACGTTTCTAGATTCATATAAAGAATGCATCATCATACAACACTAATTGGTATATAAACAACATCTACTGACTTGGTCTGATAATGTTATATAAAGATTTTAACTGTTGTGTGTCGACCTTTCTTCTGTATGATTCCATTGGATTACATTATGAAACGTGTACCATATAAAATGATACATGTTTCTAACGTTATGCTGAAAATAATATAATTGACATCACCCATCCTCTCGCATTTTAACATTTTTTCAAGGATAGGGCACTTTAAACGTTTCTTAAAAATATTTTCAATTGTTCAGTAATTAAAATCTTTATATTGCAATATCGGGAAATCTAAATTTTAGGGAGATTTTGGACCACCCTATTATAGGTATATTGAAAATGGACAAGAATGGGTAAATCTTAAAACACAATCCGATTGGTATTTAGAATCGACAATGACAATGGCAACCTACAAACGGACACATCGATGGACAAATTGTTTTAGAATGCAACTCTACGTGTATAGTGATAGACTCGGCGGGGCGTAGTGGAAGATGACGGGACGTATTGGTCAAATTTGAAGAGATGTGTGGATGATTTAGAAACTGCTGCTTTTGATGCCCAAAAATCAAGACGTAGCGATGGAAGGTTGTAATGGGAGTCCATTCTGAAATTATGGGCGAGAATGGGTAAAAGACTGGCGAGATAACTTGACTTACTGTTGAAAGTTATGAAAATTTGCTTTATCTCACAGCTGGGGACCAAAACGCCGCTAAAACGAGGTACTTTGTACACGAAAACAATGTATCGACTGAAAGGTATTTCTGTGAAGCTTTGTACGGAACAAGTTTGAAGAAAAACGGTGAAGTGTGAGACTCACAATCCTTGATTTTCAAACACTGGGGTAGGTTTTAAATTCAAATTAACGGTTTTTCGGGACGGAGTGGTTTCGATACGTCCCGAAAAGATACTACCGCGTGTTTAATAACAATCAGTTTTATGTCCAAATATGAAGAGGAAATCGGGAGGCAATAAACATTTTTTAACAAATTATTATCATTTGTAAGAATTATACCAAACAATTAATAATTATAAAATATTCCATATTTATGAGCAACAGTATATTATTTTATTGGGTAACAATAAAGTCTACAAGTTTCAGCAAATTATAAGCGAAGATTCAAAATGGCAATCATTTTTTGGTTGAAATATCACTTTTTATATCCAAAAGTATTGCAAATATTTGTTAAAAAATGTACAGGCAGCTAAGTGTATAGGTTACCATGTCGAGAAGTTTTGGGAAAATATCTTGTGAAATTTCAAAAATGGCACAGTTTTCTTGTCAAGAAATCACGTTTTGGCACTAATTAAGTCTTAAAATGTTCCATCTGATTTTGCTTGAGATTATACATATATCTCATTTTAAAGGTTACACTTTCAATCCTTGCTCTAAAGAAGGACTTCTATCTAGACGTCCTTGCTCTAAACATGGTTTTAAAGGTTCTATTTGAGAATTTTCAACATTTTTGGGCAAAATAAACACTTGCATTTAAATTTCATAATATGTCCAATGTATTGATAAGAACCTTATCTTTCATTTGACACCAATAACAGCTCAAATGGACCAGATCAAAACTTACAATAAATTTTCAAAAAATATTTTCTATCTCTCAAGCTTTATATATCAAGTTTTTATCAATGTCATTGAAAGATGGCAAAGTTGTTTGTATTACATGATACATTCATTTTTATAGTTGTGTCGCCATCTTTTAAATCAATAGTAATTTTAAAACATGCACTTTGTTTAACATGTGCATGCATGTCTAATGATCTCTGAACTTCAAATGCTTTTTTCTATGCGAGTTTTCAATGTTTCAATGATTTCTTTTTTTGATTTTTTCTTCTAAATCAAGTATACATGGTACAGTGCGCCTTTAATTCTGCAGTCTTGAAAGCACTCCTCACACCATGTGAGCTCAGTACCTATGGTACTATTTAATTTATTTCAACACTCAAGGACACTCTCCAATGTATAAAATGTTGTTAAACTTCATAATTAGTTCTTCAAGTTGAGCATACATTAGTATACAGTCCTATTTGCAAGAGACACACATCCCATTTACATATGTATCATATGAACAATGGATACAGATTATAATCTTCTTTAATTGACACTATTTGTACATATAAAATACATGTTTCTGAATTTGTCAGTTTTCATGATAGACATAGAGAGCATCACCAAATATTTTTCCATTTTGGTGTAGGACTGCTGTGACAAACACTGTGCTATTAATGGTCTACTTCTAAGAGCCATGCTAGCATATTAAATTGTAAGAAAGCATGCTGAGCTGGGAGTATACATTTTGGCAAATATTTTGTGTGTAACACATAAAGACGCCTATTTGTAGTTCTCATTAGAAAGTGTAAAATGTTATATGATCCAGCATTATTCAGAAAATACATGTAATTATCCCACCAAACTAAATTCAAGTGGGGATATACAGAAGCCGTCCATCTGTCTGTTGTCCATCTGTTCATCCATCAGTACAGTTATCCAGGTGATAACTCAAATATGAAATGAGAAAATTATGAAACGCTTTCCCTCATCATGTTATATCAAAATGTACCTGAAAAGATGTAATCGTGCATGGTAAACATACCCATGTGGGAATAAATTTTGAATAACATAACTATTTTCGAAATTAAAATGAAAGTTTATTTTGATACCAAATAATTGCACACTAGGTACTCTAAAAGCCAACTGTGGTTTTATTCAAAACAAAGAAGATTTGGCTTATCAGCATAGGAGTCTGATCAAAAAAAGAATTTCGAAATGACTCATATGATGATCTATATTTTATGTGGTTGGATCTGCTACTCTGAGGAGTTGCTGTTTTTCTCACTGGTTGTTAGCTTAACCCATACTGTTCTACAAGTTCATTCTGTGCCATTCATTTGAAATACAATTAAATTCATCTGAAATACTTTGTGAAAATGATGTAAGCCAGTTGAAAGTTGAAAGTTTATTTGGCAATTCCAGATCTATGAACCAGAAGAGTTAAAGGAGAAGTTAATGATGGGGAGTGGCAATGGGAAATGTTGCGAAAAAGGAGAAGAGGGGGAAGAGACTAAACCGCATGTCTTGCCAGGATTTGAACTGAAGTATGGAGTGAATGATGCCCCTCCTTGGTACCTAAGCATACTTCTAGGATTCCAGGTATGCATTCAGAATATTTGTAGTAATATGGACATGGCAAATAGGAAGACATGTTTTGAATTAAAAATAGAGAGGAATGTGTGTTAAAGAAAATGAATGTGTGAACATGAACCTATTTTCTATTTTCAATATCATATTACCAAGAAATTGTAAATATTAAAGTCTTTGTCTAATATTATATTGTTTATCAAATAAGAAAAGTCATTCAGATTTTTCTATTTGCTCCAATGAAATTGTAATATCTCAGATCCTTGTTTCTTTGCTTTTTGACAAAAGGTGGCCGATTATACATGTATGATTATTTTTTTTGTGAAATAATAAACTACTAATTTAAAGAGTATGTATTGTAAGTAACTAATTTATTACACCATATTTTAGACAGGGTCTATAAGCAATGACGAGTGTTATACTGGTGACACTGCAAATTTAGGGAATGTGATAGCTTGATGAAAGATTGAGACCTCTGGTCACCCCTTGCACTCATATTTAAAGAATTATATTTAATATGTAGATAACTAGTGAAATAGACATATCTTATATTGTTTTCAGACATATCTAATAATGTTTGGTGCCACCCTAGCCATTCCATTCCTCCTAGCAAAGCACTTGTGCATCTCAGATGACTATGTTGCCCTGAGTGAACTCATTTCAACCATTTTCTTCTGCTCTGGGATAGCTACTCTCCTTCAGACTACATTTGGAGTCAGGTATAGGATATTACATTTTAAGAGTTTTTCACTTTATTTATTGTTTATTATTGTTTCAAGTATTATACAATAACAAGGTATTGTATTTGTGGGTATTGACAAGATCAGGACAAATATCTTAACAAAATTTTCACCCATTCAACACTCAAACCAAAATATTCTTCCTACACCTGGTGTTGTTTTGTATCCTAAGTTTATTTCTCCGATTTAATTTTTAATGCATGAGACCTTCAACATAGTCTTCCATCCAACTTTATTTAGCATGCTATATTTATTAATCAATAATAAGTAATGAATGTTTACCTTTTCATGTTGTTTGTTCGATCATAGCTTGTGAATGAATTGGATTGCCTCCTTACTGTAGCTACTAATACAACCTTATTTTTACCTTAATTATCCCATCGAACGAAGTTCGGAGGGATATAGGGAACGCCTCCGTCCGTCCGTCCGTCCCTCTGTCTGTCCGTCCGTCCATCCGTCCGTCCGTACGTACGTCCGTACGTACGTCCGTACGTACGTCCGTACGTACGTCCGTCCGTCCGTCCGTCCGTCCGTCCATCCGTCTGTCCGTCCGTCCGTCCGGGCAATAACTCAAATACCGTTGGCCCGATTTTGTTCATATTTTGTACACATATACCCTATGGGGGTAGAAGTTCTGCTCGAAAGCCAATTTTCAAAATGGCCACTCATTTCAAAATGGCGGCCATTTTAGTGCCGATTTTACAGTAATTTAGGTGCAATATGTAAAACTGTAATAGCAATATGTTTTAAATGTAAAAAAATTATAAAGGACATTAATAATGCTACAAATGTAGATATTAAAGAAGCACATGGCAGCCATCTTGAAAAATGGCGGCCTTTACTCATCATTTTACGATTTTTGCTGTAACTCAAAAAATAATGGAGCGATTTTGTTCATATTTGGTATGTGAATATTATAAGCATTGCACACTGTCTAAAGACACTTTTGGTAGAAGGTGGCCATTTTGAAAAATGGCCGCCATTTTAACGTATTTTGCTATAACTCGAAAAGTAGTGGAGCGATTTTGTTCATATTTGGTATGTGAATACTATAAGCATGGCACACTGTCCTATGACACTGGGTAGAAGGTGGCCATTTTGAAAAAAAATTGAAAAATGGCCGCCATTTTAACATATTTTACTATAACTAGAAAAGTAGTGGAGCGATTTTGTTCATATTTGGTATGTGAATACTATAAGCATGGCACACTGTCCTATGACACTTTTGGTAGAAGGCGGCCATTTTTACTATATCTTGAAAAGTAGTAGAGCGATTTTGTTCATATTTGGTATGTGAATACAATAAGCATGGCACACTGTCTATTTCTAATGACACTTTTGGTAGAAGGTGGCCATTTTAACGTATTTTACTATAACTCGAAAAGTAGTGGAGCGATTTTGTTCATATTTGATATGTGAATGCTTTAAGCATGGCACATTGTCTAATTAAACTTTGGGGAGTAGTCGGCCATTTCGAAAAATGGCCACCATTTTTATGTGTGTTATTTTACAAGTACGTGTATGATTTTTCAAAAATTTTAGAGGTGGCTACTTAAAAGCATATTATTTCTAATAGTGAGCAACTATTTTGAAAATGGTGGCCTTTCTGGTGTGTTGTTTTATGATATTTGCTATTCGTTTGTAAAAATGCCAGCCATTTCTGTTCGATGGGATTCGCTACGCTTTGGCGTTGCCGTTGTTCTGGTTAAGATATCAGGGAATTTGTTATAACCTTCCAAAGTTCTGCTTCAGCATCTAATATTTTAACAAAATTGTTCTTTTATTGTGCCACCATCATACAAATAATTGGACAAGGAACTTTTATCAAATTCCCTATACATATACAGGGTGTTCAATAAGTATTTTTACTAAGCAAGAGAACAAAAGTTATGGCAAAATTAGCAATACTTATTGAACACCCTGTACATATGATATAATGTTGTTTTGTTATTGCACCACTAAGTTTTTGTGAACAGTGGTGTCATGCTGTCATATTTTGTTTAATCTTAAGTTGTACTCTAGTTGTTGTTGCATGTTTAGATTACCTATCATCCAAGGTGGGACATTTTCATTCCTAGCACCTGCTGTTGCCATTCTCAGCCTGGACGAATATAAGTGTCCACTCGGTCAACCTAGTAAGTTTACATTTTATATCAAGTCAGTATTATAGGTCTGTCACTAAAACTCAGTCGTCCTACTGTGAAAAATAGCTGCTTTATGGAAATAGGATCTTAAACTGTAAAAGAGGGGTCTGATTAAATGATGGTCCTACTGTGTAAAATAGTTGGAGTGAAATGGTAATCAGACTGTGAAAATGTGGTCTGAGACTTTGTGAATCTTGGCCTCTTGTGTAAAATGGTGGTTCGCAATGTGAAATCTTTTTTTTGATTTTGCAAACAAACTCTGCATTAAAAAGTACAGTGTTAACATGTTTTACAGGGTATGGCATGATAGTAATCTAACACATTGCATTTTTATGATTAATCCAACTAAACATAATACATATATGCATGTGAGTTTGTTGTTTATTTGTGTAATACTAAGTTCATATGATCTGGTTGAACCTTAAAAAGTAGAGACCACTTGACAATTTTTTATCAGAACATTTAGGTTTTTCATGTTTATCCTGCTTTTTCAGCTCAGATACTAAAATAAAGATTGCAATATGGGAATTTGGCATGTTTTAAACATTCTACACTCTAACTCAGTTCTTTGCTGCCACTTTAAGACTATAACCCAACCATTTTGAATAATATAATTTCACCAAAATATTTTGACAAAATAGCATTAAAATAATTATATGTGGGTTAGGGATGTACAACATGTAAATTAGTATGTATCTTCTGTTTTCACAAATTTTAGGCAAGCATAAAATTGTGATTTGATTTCGATTCATGCTTGGCCCAAATACATATTTTCAGGTATTTAGATAATAGTAGGTACATGTATAAATCAAATTCCTTATTGATATTTCAAATTTGATTGATATGAAGCTACATTGTAAGATTTTTTAACATTGTTTCAATGCATCATCCACATGCAGAGCTCAAGACTTAATCCCACTCTGGAAGAAACATTGTGGGTGATGTAAGGAGCCCTGCATTTGGAGGATGTAACAGTGGGGATTAAGTCCAACCTTTTTCAGATACTAATTGAACACAAAGACAAACCAAATGTGTAAATCAGTTCTTCATGCATAATATGAAAATCAACCATCTCATCCTGGTTTATTTTCCAGCAGGTCTAGTAGGGAATATAACAGCAAACACAGAGGGATTGGTGACCACTGCAGGAATCAACTTAACAACCGCTGGATATGATAATAGAGAAGATTTTATGGCTAGGCTAAGAGTGGTAAGTTAAACTAGAAGAGAAGTAATTATTACATGGAAGGATCAGAGTGGAAAATATGCAATGATTGAGACTTATGTCCCCATGTTATCTTAAATTTTATAGGCTATTGTCATTTTAGCATTTAGGGCAGAAGGATTGTTCAATGTAAATGTTGAATGTATGTTACAGAAGGAATTTTGGATGTCGTAGAATTACTGTTTTTTGGGGTTTACTTTTTTGTTTGGTATGTTGTAACTGACAAAAGTGCATATATTTATCAAATATAACTAGGATAGTAATAAAAAAAGAATAATTTCACATCCATTTAAGCAAGGAACCAAATAGGTATATGCATGTGTCCTGACTCATCCTTTACATTGCACCAGCATTCTGATACTCAGCATCTTTTTGTTTCACCTGAAACAGGACTGAGAAGAATTGAGATGTCATGGTTTATCATGATGTAAAAAATTGTTGCACTAGTGGAAAATCTGTTTGGATTTCTGATCGAGTCAGTTAGGAACTGGATATTAATACATTATCCCCTACATACAGTATCTACACCTATCATGCCTATTGAGAATTGCTTACGTTTTTATTCGGAATCATGCAACATCAAGATAATTTTAGTGTCACCTTTATTTTGAAAATATTTAACTCTGTTTTTTAAATTAAATACTTTTTCTTAAATAGAATTACATTTTGTTATATATTTTTCAGATTCAAGGCAGTATTATGGTTGCATCATTACTACAGATTTTCATAGGGTTCAGTGGTATCATAGGCCTTATGTTACAGTTCATAGGCCCTCTCACTATTGCTCCAACTATTGCACTCATAGGCATATCTCTGTTTGAATCAGGATACAATTTTGCCTCTAAGCAGTGGTGGATCGCGATCACGTAAGTTGAGAACTTTGCAAAATTTGCATTTTATGAATTGAAAATTCTTTTGCATCTACTTGAATAGCATATGTACTTAGAAGTCATCTGTCATTACCTTTACACCATTTAACTTTTTTTCAGAACTATGGCTCTGATTGCAATATTTTCCCAATACATTCCAAGATATGTTCAAAAGTATGTACCATTCTCTGGAACTGGACAGAAGAAATGTAAGCTGTTTCTCAGCTTCTTTGAACTTTTCCCTGTAAGTTAGGCACTACGCCCGGGGCACTAGGGTAGTAATTTTTTGTCTCAATAGTAGCTGTCTTTCATGACTATTTGAATTTGATTTACTTTTGTATTATTTCTGTAACTAGCCATTGTTTCACTATACAGTATACATGCTCTTCTTCTGGTTCCTAAAACTGAGCATCCTAGTGTGAAAGTAAGTATTGCCTAGTATTTATCCCCAGAATCCTCAGAACCCTCCCTCCCCTGGCTGTGGGCAAGAGCATCCAATTCATTAATATACATGTAGAGACCATATTTTGGGCAAGGTAGGTTAAGTAGGTATCAATACAAATAAGAACAATAATCTTTAAAAAACAATATTCTCTCTACACTAGTAAATACACTATGCAGTCTATCTCATATATTTCCTATTTGAATGCTAGCTATAGTAATCAATAATCCCCGAAAAATATTCTCTTTACACTGGGAATACACTGTGTAGTCTATCTTATATATTTGGTTTACTATTTAAAGGGCTAGCTAAAGTAATCAATAATCCACTAAAACAATATTCTCTTTACAATTGGAATACACTGTAGTCTCTCTCATATATTTGGTTCCCTAGCTAAAGTAATCAATAATCCTCCCAAAAAATATTCTCTTTACACTGGAATTACATTGTGTAGTCTCTCTCACATATTTGGTTTTCAAGCTATAGTAATCAATAATCCCAAAAAAACAATATTCTCTTTACACTGGAATTACACTGTGCAGTCTCTCTCATAAATTTGGTTTTCTAGCTAAAGTAATTAATAATCCCAAAAAAAAAACAATATTCTCTTTACACTGGAATTACACTGTGTAGTCTCTCTCACATATTTGGTTTCCAAGCTATAGTAATCAATAATCCCAAAAAACAATATTCTCTTTACACTGGAATTACACTGTGTAGTCTCTCTCATATATTTGGTTTTCTAGCTAAAGTAATTAATAATCCCAAAAAACAATATTCTCTTTACACTGGGAATACACTGTGTAGTCTCTCTCATATATTTGATTTCCTAGCTATAGTAATAAATAATCCCCCAAAACAATATTCTCTTGACACTGGGAATACACTATGTAGTCTCTCTCATATATCTGGTTTCCTAGCTAAAGTAATCAATAATACCCGAAAACAATATTCTCTTTTACACTAGGTAATACACTATGTAGTCTATCTCATATATCTGGTTTCCTCTTTAGATAGTGCTGGCTATAGTAATCTGCTGGATAATCTGTATTGTGCTAACAGCTACTGGCGTTCTGCCTGACAAACCTGACCAATGGGGATATGAGGCACGTACAGACATACGACTACAGGTCCTTAATGATGCACAATGGTTTAGATTCCCTTACCCAGGTACTGCTCTTTGGATTCATCTAACATGACATAGTGATCAATTCTAGTCTGAATTCTTTATACAAGGGTTGTTCAAAAGGTTTTGCACAAATATATCTTACTATGGAAATAATGAACCAATCTTGTTCATATTTGGTAAGTTTGTGCCCCCATCTTACTTAAAGTCTGCAGTACATTTACACGCTTAATTATCCCATCGAACGAAGTTCAGAGGGATATAGGGAACGCCTCCGTCCGTCCGTACGTACGTCCGTCCGTCCGTCTGTCCAGGCAATAACTCAAATACCGTTGGCCCGATTTTGTTCATATTTTGTACACATATACCCTATGGGGGTAGAAGTTCTGCTCGAAAGCCGATTTTCAAAATGGCCGCTCATTTCAAAATGGCGGCCATTTTAGTGCCGATTTTATAGTAATTTAGGTGCTATATGTAAAACTGTAATAGCAATATGTTTTAAATGTAAAAAAATTATAAGGGGCATTAATAATGCTACAAATGTAGATATTGAAGAAGCACATGGCAGCCATCTTGAAAAATGGCGGCCTTTACTCGTCATTTTACGATTTTTGCTGTAACTCAAAAAATAGTGGAGCGATTTTGTTCATATTTGGTATGTGAATACCATAAGCATTGCACACTGTCTAAAGACACTTTTGGTAAAAGGCGGCCATTTTAACGTATTTTACTATAACTGGAAAAGTAGTGGAGCGATTTTGTTCATATTTGGTATGTGAATACTATAAGCATGGCACACTGTCCTATGACACTTTGGGTAGAAGGCGGCGATTTTGAAAAAAAAATTGAAAAATGGCCGCCATTTTAACGTCTTTTACTATAACTCGAAAAGCAGTGGAGCAATTTTGTTCATATTTGGTATGTGAATACTATAAGCATGGCACACTGTCCTATGACACTTTTGGTAGAAGGCGGCCATTTTGAAAAATTTTTTTAAAAATGGCCGCCATTTTAACGTATTTTACTATAACTTGAAAAGTAGTGGAGCGATTTTGTTCATATTTGGTATGTGAATACTATAAGCATGGCACACTGTCTATTTCTAATGACACTTTTGGTAGAAGGTGGCCATTTTGAAAAATGGCCGCCATTTTAATGTATTTTACTATAACTCGAAAAGTAGTGGAGCGATTTTGTTCATATTTGATATGTGAATACTTTAAGCATGGCACATTGTCTAATAAAACTTTGGGGAGTAGTCGGCCATTTTGAAAAATGGCCACCATTTTTATGTGTGTTATTTTACAAGTACATGTGTGATTTTTCAAAAATTTTAGAGGTGGCTACTTAAAAGCATATTATTTCTTCTGATGACAACTTGGCAAGTGAGCAACCATTTTGAAAATGGTGGCCTTTCTGGTGTGTTGTTTTATGATATTTGCTATTCGTTTGTAAAAATGCCAGCCATTTCTGTTCGATGGGATTCGCTACGCTTTGGCGTTGCCGTTGTTCTGGTTTAAGATTTAACAGTTGACCACATGAGCAAACTTAAACTTGCATTAATTAATGGGCAACATTATGGGTGTTGCCTCTTGATCAATTAAGTTTCAGCTAGGATGAAGAAATGACTATTCTAATTGTTAAGCATTAATATATAATTATAATACTTCTGAGGTCAAGCATATGATACACATTATTTTAGAACCTTTTATGATGTAGGAATCTTTAAGGCAGCATTTTCACTTCGGAACTCCCTTCCCCCTTTTAAATGGTGATCTGATCTTTTCATTTCAGGTCAGTGGGGTGTGCCAACTGTGAATATCTCAGGGGTGCTAGGTATGTTTGCAGGGGTGATAGCTTCCATGATAGAGTCTGTAGGTGATTACTATACATGTGCTAGACTAGCTGGGGCACCACCTCCACCTACAAGTGCCATCAATAGAGGTGAGAGTGTACTCTTGTATTTTATGATTTCACTTATTGTTCCAGTTATATGTAGCTATCCTAGCAAGAACAACACAAGCCTATTTGTTCCAGCACTATGCCATTTGTCATTGTACCATGCTGGTTTCCTAGTATCATGCTTGTTGTCCTAGTACAGTGCTTTTCTTGGTCCTTCAATAATTGTTCCAGTACCATGTAAAAGTTATCCTTGTAATATACTATGCCATGCTCAAATTGGTGGAATCATGTAAATCAGGTAGTCCACTACCTGTTGCTCTATCAGAAAATTAGAGATGTAAAAAGCATTACTTTTTTTATTTTAGGAATAGGTATGGAGGGATTAGCAACCCTTCTTGCAGGGGCCTGGGGCTCTGGAAATGGCACAACGTCTTATGGGGAGAACATTGGGGCTATTGGAATAACAAAGGTAATTGTACTTTACAAATATATAAATCACTTTATAATTGTTCTTTATATAAAGCAAAATAATATTCAGAATAAGAATGTTTAGGAGTACTTACTAGTATTCATAAGTATTCCTGCCATAGGCTTGTGGTCATAAAAAGTGTGGTTCAAAAGGGAGAATATCATGTACATGTATGAGAATATAATATACACTTTAATTCACTGCACTGCTGTATACGTCTACCTGCTCTCAAATCTAATAATGAAACGAAAAAAAAAATGCATGCCAAACTTTTATATATTGTAATATTATCTATGGTTATTTCAAAGTTTTACTGTCTTTAAGGGCTAACACTTTACTTGAGGCAAGATGCATAAACTTGAACTCCCTGGGCTATAACTTGAAGAATGGCGTATTGTTCTTCAAACTGGACTTGAAATCTCAATTGTCACTGCTTGTGTGTCATACTCATTGGCACCTGCAAAACAGAATAATATAATAAGAATAACATCATGATGATATTAGATATCATATTTCATTTGGAGCCTTAAATATTAAATAAGGCATAAACATGAAAAATGTCACCACCCGCCATTTGTTACAGACGCTGAACGCCGACCCCAGACGCTAAACACCGTACATAAAAAAGTTGGAGACTTTAACAATATGTGACCACTTTTGGTGGTGACATAAAAAGGGGAAGTCCCGTATAAATAAAACTCCTGATTTCAAGTTTTTTGTAAACATACACCATTGCATGTTGATGGTTGGCATGACCTGCAGGTTACGATGACAAATGAATGTTACGTTGTCAATAGAATATAGCGTTTGACCATCTCTGATCATAAAAATGAGTTGATAGAAATTCAAGTAACATGTATCAAGTTCATTTTATCACGGACTACAACTATTGATTCCAAATCTGGTTCACTGAACGGCTCAATAATTAGTAGTAAAGCGTATTTTATAGAGTCAGTAGTCTGGTGGCAGTTTAGAAATCCCGCGTTCGAACACTTATAATACTCCTAGATCTTAATATAACAATACGGTTTTTGCAATACGTTGTTTTTATTCACCTGTAGACGCACCTGGTGATCGGAAAATATGAACGGATCGGAGGGGGTGGGGTTGGTGAAGATTTGTTGAATTTTCTATCAAAAATGGGCTGACCTCCCTCCTCCGTTCATTTTGTCCGATCGCTGGGCGTGATAGATAATGTATTGAACGTTTTTATGTGTTTCTTATTGAACGAAATGTGTATTTTGGACTAATAATGTAATTCATAATAAATACAAGTATTTCAAGAATTGCCATACTGCACGTAAAACGGGTAGCCGTAGCTTCTTCACTGATGTACGATCGGATATACTACATGTACTTAAAAAAGTTTTGTTGCGACTAATAAAACAGATCATCTTTAATGTAAAAATAACAGGTGCACTTCATATAATCAATTTTAGATACTGTATTTAGTAATATTATGAATCCCAAACACAACGCATTAATTAAATGCATGTTTAAGTGTCAATTAGCCTATTAGAATAAATATATTAAAACTATTATGAACAGATAATTCATTGTATTTATTCAACTCTAATGGGCTTTTCTCTTTTAACTGCTACATGGCTCTCGATTTACAGATTTACAGATTTCGAGCCATCAAAGTCAGATTAGGCGGAGCCCTTATCCTCAATTAAAAAATAATATTGGTAAGGAAGTCGGACATGTTTGATACCATTTCTCATCTCTTTTCTGCTTTTAAAATACCGACTTGAATCACAATTTGTGTACGATCATTGCATCAGATCTGAAAATATCAATATTGTACTCACTGGTTTTGTGATCGAAAGGTAGTTTTTTCGTATAACAAATATATGAGTTATAGATTATATAATTTGTTTGTTTTTTATGAAAAATAACATGCTACCCGCAGGTGACAAATATTTTGACCACAGCCGTGATACTGTTTTATTTAACTCGTATATTTAAACAGATTGCGGAGAGACTGAATTGTTCATTTTCTTTTAAAAAGTATACGACTGAAAACTTACTTCGTCAAATTTTGGCCATTGCTATCCCCCCCCCCCCAGCCCCCGGATACATTCCAATATAAAAATAAATTAACACCATCAAATCTTTTCATTCCAAAACACAAAACGCCTAGGCGCGTGCCGGTGTGATTTCAGGCATGATCAGTACTGTACATTTCTTAATTAGAAGAAATGAGATGTCATGGTTTATCATGATGCATTCTCCGATCCACGTTGGAGTTGGCCAATGCATCGAGGAGTGCACCGATCGACGTAGCCAGCTTTCAGTCAGAGATTTTTTGAGCGTTTTGGCTATACATTGGATCCCAGACAGTTATCTAATTCTCAGACATTTAATTAGTCTAGATATTTTTACCACTTGACCAGTGAATGGTGTGACTGAAATTCGAATCTAATCTGTTTCATTTTTATGTAAATTGAAAGAAAATAAAGTTTTGTTTTTAATGTTTTAACAATCTTAACGTTTTGCGTGCAGCGCAGCTTAATACGACAATCAAAGGAAAGAATAAGAACATGTCTTTTATTTGTTATTTCAGCTCGTACTATCCCCGTTATAAAACCAAAATACGCTCCTTGATCATCGCAGAAATGCTCTTGCAACAAACCTCTATGTGCCCGCTTGTCTCTGTAACTTAATAAATAAAAAATACTAAATATAAAATACGATTCTGAATAAAACTTTATAAGAACGTGGTTTGCGTTATTTATTTGTTTATTCATTTATACGAACGCGCTCGTCTTTTGAACTGAGTATGGAAATACACCAAGCCAAGTGGCCATTAAGTAATAGTAATTATTGTACACGTATTGCTTTCCAAGAATTATTAATAAATGTACGTTCCCAAATAAAATAAAAAAAATAGAAGAAGAATCTGGACAGAATTCCCACTTCTTGCAGTCGATCAATCCAATAAACAATATCAAGTTTAAAATCAGACAATATGCGCCGGCCGTAAAAGTTTCTGAATTTAATAACAAAGTACATGTGACTGTGTAATTATATCCATTGATGTTGTAAACTAGACTACATGAAGGTTCAGGTAGAAACATATAAAACTGCTATATATCTCTGGTTAAAGCAAAACAATTAATTTAGCTTTTAATTATCGATCCTCTGTATATTACACGATCGACCAGGAATAATCGCCTCTGTACAGTAGCATTCGATTTAGGCGGCTTTTATTAATTCATGAATTTTGTTTCAAGAATATGATTTAAATATAAAATACATTGAACAATTGCCGGTTGAATTAGACTCACAGTTGCCCTGTCTTAATTTTGCATCGATCGATGCATTCCTCGATCCACCGATGCACATTTGACGTTGCATCGAGAAATGCGTCGGTCGGCGCATAAAACGTGCCGATCGGTGCATCGTTAAAATGCGCCGAGATGCATTTCGGCGCGCCGATGTTGCATCGATCGTCGCATCGATCGTTGCACCGATCGGTGCATCGATCGGTGCATCTATCGTCGCACCGAGGTGTGATGGCCGCTCTGGTCTGTACTGTATACTGCCATCTTTTTATCTGCCTTAAACCTAAGAGTATTGGCAAATTGTAATTTTACTTTGAAGGTTGGTAGCCGTAGGGTTGCTCAGTGGGGAGCATTATGTATGATGATTTTAGCCATACTTGGAAAGTTTGGAGCGCTGTTTGTCACAATTCCTGATCCAATCATCGGAGGAGTATTCTTTATTGTGTTTGGTAAGTTTGGTATCAGTAACAGAGATCCTTGTAATTGATGATTTCAGTGTGGGTCATATCCATGCCTCATTGTCTAACATGAATACATGAAATACACAATTGTTGAATATTTTAGAACAAAGTCAATTTTAGGTTACTTCATAAACATATTACTTTTATTCACAAGAAAACTGTGAGTATACATATAATTTATCATCAGTGGCAACACTATGGAAAGTGTAATTTTTCATTGGCGAGTGTGAAAACACAAGTAACTCACCACTTGTCGAGTGGCAGAAAAATCCTAAGACCCATACTGTGATTTGCAATCACTGGATTAATTCTATCTTGTAGTGACGTCACAATTAGGCCACACTGCTATAGCTTTTTTTGATTTTGAGAGATTATCTTCTGTGTTTCATACTTTATTGATTTTTTTCACGAAAGTGTTCGATTTGAGATCAACATTCATTTTAAGCACATGTCAAGTCTAAGATCTTACTGACATGATTTAGATAGCGGTTAAGCGCCCTCCGATTTGGAAAAAACCGGGGGGGGGGGTGCTTATAGGCATCGATGTTTATTATGAATTTCACCGAAACTTCACACATATAAAGATATAATCATGATCTAGTCAAATCAGCATACCTGGTAAATATCTGACCCATGGTTTTCATAAAAGAAACGATAACATTTTTAGCTCAAAACTGCCACGTGTCCGCCATTTCGTCTCTCCATCATGTCATATATCATTTCTATATGACGCCACGCCAATAAGAAGAAATACATGAGAGCAGTATCCATAAACAAAATACCTGAATTCTGATCGCAAAAGGTCAATTAGCCCCACAATTTTAGTATAAATGGATGTTGTAAGGAAGATCTTTGATATTTTATTCAATGCCTATAAATACAAGGGATGTAAATGTTATTTTTATATCCCACATTTTCACTCAAAGACCCTTGGCTTCATTATATGCAAATGTTTTCTTTATTGATTATTTTAGAAAAATTTGCAATTTGAAAACAGTATGACGAAACAGTGCTTAGATGTACATGCAGTGTTTTGTTCAAGTTGAAAACAATGCATGCAATTTTCTTTGAAATCAATGTAATCATTCATGATAAGATGTTTATGTTGTAGGCTTTGTCACTGCAGTTGGGCTCTCCAACCTCCAGTTTGTAGATATGAACTCACCAAGAAATCTCTTTATTGTTGGCTGCGCCCTCTTTACAGGGTTCACTATACCTCAGTGGTTGAAACACAATCCTGGAGCTATAGCAACAGGTACACAATACAATATCATAGTTGTCAATAGCTACATGTACAGAATAAACTGAATATTATGGTTGTCAAAGCAAAATAAGAGGATATAGAATGCCATTGACTGTCATAGCAAAATGTTTTGAATATGCTGAGCGTTATGGTTGTCAAAGTGACGCGTATGAAATATACTAAGTGCAATGGTTGTCATAACAACAGGTCAACTTGGTGAACATTATGGTTTTCATAGCAACAGGTCCAGAATATACTATTTGTATATGTTAATGTACTCATGTTATAAACAGTAGGTGAATGAATAGAAAATAGCAAGAAATAAATCATATACAGGGCGTTCAGTAAGTAAAGCTAATTTTGCTCTTAAACTTTTATTTTTTGTCATTTATCTTTCAAATTTTCAGTGAAAAAGCATTTGACATTTTTCTAACTACCCTGAAAAATTAAATAAGATATGATGAATAATAGCAAAACAATGGTTGTCATAGTAACGTGAATATGGGTTCTGCGGAGCAATTTTATAAGTTCACAGCATAGTAGATTTTGTTAACGTTAGTTTCTGTCCTGTCTATATTTCAACCATAGTTCTGTGGCTACTCCACATTTCTACTTTCAAGTTAGCATTCTATTTCATGTTCAAAGTAGTTCCCCTTAGCTTTCACACACAGCTGATGTCGTTCTATCCACTTCTGATATATCCTGTGGAAGCCATCTGGAAAGTTCTTTGTCAGCGAACGTTGAACGGCATTCTGAAGCTCATGGATATTTGCGTGGATCTTACCACGCAGATCATTTTTCAAACATGAAAATACCCCCAAATCGCACGGTGCCTTGATACCATTTGTAGATTGTGAACTTAGGCACACTGTCCCCATATGCTTTTTGGATATCCCTAATGGTATCCTGCTTGGATTTCCCTAGCAACACATTGTATCTGATGCTACTTCTCAATTGTTGTTTCATTTTGCTTCCATTGGCAATCCTGGTAGCCATGATTTTGATGATGTCATGGAGCAGTGTCTGATGGATCATTCTGGATCATTCCATCTGTTGTATCATCTGTCTGAGATGTCATAGACTACTGTTGCCATGGTATCATATTTGTGTATGTTGTTGTTATGTTTGTCGTGACTTTCAGCCATAGCAAACAAAGACATATGCAGCATTAATCTTAATCAATTTCTAAAGTAAGAAATTGCTCCGCAGAACCCATATTCATCTTATTTAATTTTTCAGGGTAGTTAGAAAAATGTCAAATGCTTTTTCACTGAAAATTTGAAAGATAAATGACAAAAAATAAAAGTTTGAGAGCAAAATTAGCTTTACTTACTGAACGCCCTGTACTAGACTGTAGATACAGATTATTCGATAGAATGTATCCTTTTGTTTATTTTAGGTTCGGTAGTAGCAGATAACATATTCACTGTACTGTTTAGGACCAGTATGTTTGTAGGGGGTCTTGTAGGATTCGTGCTGGATAACTCAATTCCAGGTTTGTTCTTTTTATGCTGGCTGTCCACCAAGCACATTCAATTCTTACATTTTCTTGCTGGCTGTTAACAGTGCTGGTGTTGAGTCAGCATTTACTTAAAATACAAAAAATGTGAAGTTTGCTCATTTGTAGTTTCTTGCTGCTAAATGTATAGTTATCATAAGTAACAGTTTCACACAAGTCCACAAGCTAAATTGAATTATGAACCAGTTTCAATGTTGCTTGTCCCCGTACAGGCTGAAAATAACAGCTGGCCCAGATCAAAAGTGACTGACTGCGCCATTTGGCTTATGGTTATGTCACACCCTGATGCTATGTACATATATACTCCTCCTGCTGAATTCTTGCATTGCACTCACTGTTTTAAAGATATTTACTGTACATGGTAGCATTTCCAAGTTTTCATAATCTTACATGTATTTCCAGGTACAGACAAAGAGAGGGGGATCAGCCAATGGAAACAGCAAACAAGTGATGATGACCCTTACGTCAATGATCTCCTGGCCATGTACGATTTGCCATTTGGGATGGGCTTCATCAAGAAACATAAATTCTTCCAGTACCTCCCGTTTTCACCTACTTTCAAGGGATACATGTGTTGTAGATCAGATAACAATCAGAATGATATTCCTATTGACAATGTGAGTGTTAGCACAAGGAGGTTTGATTCTGTTGAGACTGTAGCGACAAATGTTACTGTTGATGATCGAAATGCCAATACGATCATGTGATCAAGAAGGTCAAGTGCAGTGTCTAACACTTCATCATTCCATTATGAAACGTCTGTCTAATTTAACAGTTCAAATTAGAGACCTCTGGAGAGCTTTACATAGGATTTTTATGTAACCTCCATGGAACAAACTTAATGTTGTTTTATGTGTAAAAATAACTTATGTTCTAACAAAGTGTGTTCTAACCCATTATGCATGATGTCCACACCTTTAATACAGGTGATGGGTAATTACTGATAAGTGTGACCCCCATTGTAACTGATAAAGTTTCTAAATGCTGCATCCCTCTCCTTGTATTAAGCTTTTAGTTTATATTGTATATTTTATTGGAGGCATTTTTATAATTTTTGGACTCATCTACTTGGATATGTAGATTTTCAAATCTTTATCTTATATTTTGATAACGAAAGTTGAAATAATTATATTTTTTGAGTTGATATTTTCTGTATTGAGAATCTGAATTTTAATACTGCAACTTTATGTATTTTAACCAAACAACATACAAGTACATGTATTCCTCTCCTATCTCATGCCTCACTGTACATGTATACCTTTATGGGCTAATATGTTATACAAACTTATATTTTATGCTTGAATGTGTATTGCTCAATCATTTTATAACAAATATAACATAGATACACTAAATATAATATAACATGATATAGACTAATGGTTGTTTATTGTTTTATTAACATATCATACTACATGTATGTTTAATACTAACAGTGGATCTTGTTGTGCTACAGGGTGTTCTAATGAACCTACATGTAATAGTAATACTACTTAATACTACTAATGATAGTCTTCCAGTGTTACTCGTGCTTGAGAAGAGTCCAGTAACTACAACAAACACTGACATGTTTTACTTATCATATCAGACACATTTTTAGATGGTAAGTGATTTGCATCCAGTTTTTATGTCACCACCAACAAGTGTTGACATACATTGTTATGGTCTCCATTTTTTTGTGGTGGCGGTTGGTGGTTGGTGGGCGGCGATTGTCAACTGTTACAAATTCTTAAATCTTACAATTACAATGTACTTAACAAATACTGTTTAGACTGACTTCAATTTTTTTCCAAATCATCTACAAGTTTTCAGAAGTTCAAATCTGAATTCAAACCTTCTCAAGGTCAAAGAAAGGACAAAAAGGTCTTTTTTCAACATGTATCAAATTGACCAACTTTTTTCAAAATTATGTACAAGTTCTCAAAAGTTCAAATCTGACTATAGATTTGACCTTCAATGACATTCTTAAGGTCAAAATAGATATGACCTTCAATGATCTTCTCAAAGTCAAAAGGTCTTTTTTTAACTTGCTTCAAATTGACCAATATTTTTTCAAAATCATCTACAGGTTCTCAGAAGTTACAACCTTACTTAAGATTGAACTAATAATATTGTGAACAACTAGGTGCTGACATTTTGCCATGTTAATGCCTTGTTAACATTTCTGATGGTTTTATGGTGCCACTTTGCACAACATTAACAGCCCCTATTTATAGTTTCCTACCTCTAGCAGTCCACCGATTTCGTGTACTTTATGCATGTGTTTTGATTAATTTTGTGTTGTTTGAATTAACGTTTCTGTTGTGTGTGAAGCTTTTAACATGTGGTTGTCTCGCTGCATTATGACGGCTTATCCTGAAATCTCTGGATGGGAGAAACCTGATGTACCGAAGCAGTTAGAGATGTTCCATGTTACACCAGAGGTCTCCAATAAATTAGTGCAATATATCAGAGACATATTTTATATGATTCTGACTTCCTAAACGTTTACTAGATATAATATTAATCATTGTCACAAATGTTTACAGTTTTTTATTTATATTTTAAATAAAAAGTGTACCTGTAGATCGTTCATATTTATACTTTTTCATTAATACTACTACTGATAGGACTAAAAGTAAGACTCTCACATTTTCTGGATAATTAAAATGAACCCTTTCCAGAAGATTATTGTTTTTTCCATAAATGACACAGTGATATAAGAAGGTCTTGAACAGATAAATTATGAAAATCATGTGATCAAACAACAATCTTTCATTAGATTCTGATATATTTATTATACTGATACAACCTTTAATACAGTCTTATACTAAACTCCCATTTGAATGTTTGACATCACGTCATTGTCAATACTTGAAATCCTCATTTAACTTCTTGCATGTGTCTATGTAACATAATTTTGTCATGAAATCAACAAAGCACACTCGAGTTGGAATCTGGTAGTGTAAATGTTAATGTAAAAGTTCCAAAGTAAACTTTATTAGAAATATCAAAACTACATTGCTTCTTGCTTTTTAAGGAATATTATTGATATTATCGTGAGAATTGTCTAAGCTGCTATCGTTCGAAATAAAAATAACCATTGGAGAAAAGAATACACAAGTGTGTTTTAAGGATCAAGCCCTGGACTTGGTGCATTGTGAACTGAATCATTCCCTTGAATGTGTTGTTTTCAAATCTGCATGACCGCGCAGCAGAGATCCAGGTTTAAGAAACAACGCCTCGGTGTTATGAATCAGCCACAATGCATCAAGTCTTATAAACAGGATAAAAGCGCTTACATGTACATTCTTTTCACACTTTGCAAAATATTTTCTCCGAAATCATCTAAAAAATAACAAAAAGAACATATTTTCAAAGAAACTTTTTGCAAGAGTCAAGTTGGCAAAGCATCAGTTTCAATATGCAGTCAAGTTGTCACCTTGACAAACATGACCATTCAATGAATGACTTTGGGTCCGGTGATTGGATATATAATGCACATCATTTATATGAAATACCATGTTCGGATTGGCTGGAATCTGACACACCTTGCTTAGCTATGTGTGAATTATTTTTGACGTGGTTCTCTCACTGAAGATAGTTATTTATATTCAGTCCTGAATCTGCCCTGGTTTAGCCTGTTAACCATAGCATAGGGGTACATCTCTGGAAGAGCAGAGGCATCGTCTAAACGATTCATCTGAAACAAAAACATATATTGTATGATCATTGTATATAATAGTCAATATCGAAATAGAATTTAAGCACTGAACTAAACATCGTCAGACAGGTTGCCTTAAATCAAGACCGAAGGAGTACCCGCCCAATACAATATAATACAATACAACACAATACAATACAAGGGCAATAGAGTAGTTTCCATAGCTTTGAAATCTCGCCAAAGCCTCGTCCATTTGTGGACACATTCTTAAAGAAAATAATTTACAAGGCAGGGTATATAATATAAGCTAATTTTTTCCTATGAATTGTGTTTTCTTCTAAACCAGGATTACGATCCGTTTTTGCATATGGGCAATGGGCAATATGGTATAGATATATCCTGGAAATATGAATGGTATGGTTGATTAAAGAGGGAGATAGAAACATGGTATGAGGTTCTGTTAGGATGCGTAGCTATGGCAACAGATTTCTTGACTCCAGCAGTCGTAAGGCTCCATCGGAGACCTGGAGATGGAAGTACATTACACATGTATTTATACTGCGAGTGGCTATGCATTTCAAAAATTGTACGAAAAGAATTATTTTTTGAAGGTTTTTAAACTTTTTTTAATAGTTTCAGCGACAGTTTTTAGCGTCTGTGGATTGCTGTGTCATGAATACCTAAAAGTGGCCCGATGGCTATTAAAATGAATAAGCTGAATGAGTAAAAATGTGGACAAATACCTCTGAACAGAACCCGATCGCGTTATCATAGTTTATGAGGTTGGTATTTTAAATTAATACACATTAAATTGCTTTTGATTTGTCATACAGAATTGACCTGAAGAAAAAATATTCAAAACATACTTAGTTGTAATGGCATATTTTAGAAGTCCCAGAAATGTCAGTAATAAATTAGACGAGACTGATTTTCACCAGCATTTACTGAAACCTGTACGACAGATGGTGGGTGATACGCCACTGACCGAATGGCTGTGGGACGCGTGTATGGTTGAGGGGATGCAGGTTCGAGCATTGGAGACACCGTTTGTCCAGGGGTTAAAAATGGGTAGCCTTGATCCTAATTCCTTTGGTGAGTTGATAAGATCTGTAAGGACCGCGAGTTGTTTCTAGAATGAATCGGTGGCGGTTTTTCATGTATTTCGCTTCTGTTTTTCATCTAAAAAACATTGATACACTTTAAAACATTTTATATTTCTCATTTTCATTAATTCAAGGATTATCTATGGATAAACAACTAGGTATTTTTATTTTTCAAACTTCAGAGGGCTTGGAATCATTGACTACGAATGCTTTTGATTAATATAAATACTGTTTCAAATAGGTTTCATCAGAGACATATAAAACATATATGTCTCTGGTTTCATGTATGCCAATAATTTCTCAAATTGTGTAAATGGTACTCATTCCTTAATATCCCTAGAAATTTCTCTTTGAGGAATTTTCCATAGTAATCCATGCAGTGGTACAGTTCTAAACAGATTTTGAGATAACAGGAAAGTCAATCATTAATACACACCTTATTGGGTTGTTTTGGTTTATATCACAACCCAATAAGGTGTGTATTAATGATTAGTTTTCCTGTGCATATTATAGTCAATAAAATGCTTTAAAGTGTATTGATGTTTTTTAGATGAAAAACACAAGCGAAATGCATGAAAAACTCCCCCCTATTCATTCTACAAACAACTCACGGTCCTTTCTATGAGTCATGTATAATCAACATGGACTCATACTACGCTTGAAATCGATTTGGTTTTGTTGAAAATTTCGCCCAAAAGACACATTGATTATCTCAGTTCATGAAGTGATTCAGTTTGAAGTTATTATTGGCAAATGTGGTTATAATAATTTGTCAAGAATTACATTCGTGAAAATGGCGGCCATTTTTAATCCCATGACCACCTTGAACATTTCTTCTTAGACAAACAGAGGTCCTTAGACTATAAGACATAAGCACATAAAATTTGAATCCAAACCCCATTCCGCCTGCATTTGTACTTAAAGGCAATCGTTGTTAACCCACCGAACGAAGTTCGTGGGGATATAGAAGAAATGTTCAAGATGGCCGCTGAATTTCAAAATGGCCGCCATGTTTCATAGAATATTTCACGGATTTGGTTCAAATTCTATATACTGATGCTTCAGGGATATGGAACTCCACTAACAAAAAGAATTTCTAGATGGGGTCCATTTTTCATGAAAAAATGAAATTTTTAATAACTTAAATACCACTTTAAGGATTTAAGAGATTTTTCAAAATGACTGTTGAATTCAGATATTTTAGATAACTTAAATACCAAATGTCCTAAGCAGACCTGCCAACCTTCCGTTTTTACGGGAATTTCCTGTAGACTTTTTGTTTCTCCGTAAAAAATAACAGAACTCCGTGCCGTTTTCTCCCGTTTTCTAAAATTTTCCGCAGAAACCACTGCTTTAAAAATACTGGAGATAATCCACCTTTTTCAGAAAAATCTTCCGCGAAAACCACCTTAAAAACTCCCTTTCTCCAAAGTCTACCGCAAAAACTCCCATTTTTCAAAATCGACATTAAAAACTACCGTTTTAAAATCTACCGCAAAAACTATCGCATTTTGGAAAAATCTCCCGTAAAAGAACCGGTGAAATGTACAAAAAAATCTCCAGCAGATTTTTCGTTTTAAGTTGCTAGGTCCGTAATGTCTCTGTGGCATACGTCTCATGAGTCAATTAGAAATGCTGAATTTAGAATGGCCGCATTTGTTCATGTTTTTATCGATTACACAAATACCAGTTAACGACGATGATTTAATAAAATATGTTTTGTTTGATGGAATTCTCTACTTTGTGGAGTTGCAGTTTTCTAGTTGAATGCAGGTATATATCATTATTGAATCTAGATCTTTAACTCCAATCATACTTGACCGCAGGTGTATTTAACCTCCAGGATGGTGTCTATTGTGAACGAAACACGGAGGCGCTCGGCATCGTTAAAGACAAACCTGATGTCGGTGATATGAAGACTTTTATAGAGAACAAGTACAATTCTTATAACATTATAAGGAGTGAGTTAATACTCGTTACCCTAAAGGACGACCTTGATTCACAAGGGTCTCTAGAAACAATGGAAAGCGACGATGCTAAAGGACTATAGTATCTCATACTGAATTTGCAAATGTATATTAACAAATTAATGTTTTTTGAAGTACATCTTTGAGGAAAATTGATATTATTATTGTCACCCAAAACCTCAAGCATCCATTTTACTTAACGCCCATCGTTGACATGCTATTTCTTTCTTACGACTATATCACGCTGTATATAAACGCGGTAGCCTGATGTTTTTGCATACGATTATATCAATTGTGTAAATATTCGAAGTTCTTCTCGTATAATTGTTTATATTTATGAGCATTACATAATTATCTACAGTCCCGTGTACCAACATTGAGAGAGAGTACGACAATAACACTGTTCCACAGCTGGATGACTCTAACTACAGTAACCCTACTATTACACCAAACTAGTTTTCACTACATTCTCGAAAACGGGCTTCAACTGTGTACGAACGAACTAGACGTACTTAGAACCGTTTGGGGTCTATTTACAAACTTCATCGAACGTACTCGAACGGGTAGGTCCTCTAGAACTTAGAACATGCTCAAAATGTTCTCGTGGTCGATACGTTCTACGAGAACGAGTGACAACGTACTAACGACGAGCTGGACTTACTACGAACGGAACCGTCGTACTTCAATCCTACTAGGGACGTTTTAACAAGTTGAATTGTCTGTGGACGTATTGAAAACGAGGTAGAACTAATTACAAACGGGCTTAAACTGATTGAGAACGTATTTAAGACTGCTTATGAACGAGTTAGCAAAAATATAGCTATCACACCAAACAAGTTGTCACTGCGTTCTTCAAAACTGGTTTTAAACTGTGTGTGAAGGGAATGAACGTAGCTGCAACTTTCTAAGGTCTATTTAAGAACTTCATGAACGTTTTCAGACAGGAAGGTGATTTTAGAACTTTGAATCGATTCAAAATTTGATGGCGACCATACCGTTCTGTAGTCAGGTCATGATGACCTTTTAGTCTAAGGAACGCGTTATACGACGTTGCACACCGACGTGGTACGACCTGAACGAACTGCGAATGAGATGGACGTATTGAAGACTGTTTATAAACGAAGTAGCTAATTATTTTAGACATATTCCCCGACCACAGCCAGACTGAGCCCGTTTTACGACGTTTTCGTAGGACTGGCAAGAACGGGTAAGAACTAGTTTGGACGATAGGGGGGTTAGTATCATTCAAGATGGTGGCCAAAATTCTTTTCGGTTTTTGATCTGTATCTGTATTTCACTAGAATCAGTTGTAACGATCTTTTATAGCAATACATAGTACTATATAAAGAAAGTCAATGCATCCGATGCTACCTGTTTAAAACGTTTGACGATTCATTTTTTAGCATGCATCAACTAAAGTCTGTGCAAGATCTTGTAAAAACGCCGTATGGTTTGTTACCAAGTATACGAAAACTATATTTGATTCCTGGCACATAATCTACCCCGGTGATGGCTTCAAGGGAATATAGCTTGACAACGGGATTGACAGCTACTCTAAGTATGAACTGAGCGTTGCCCAAACGATGGAACCAATATATTTTCCATGGTGCCGTGTAATCGTCTCTGGCCCTGGCTGGGAGCGCAACTTAAAGCTAGTTAGGTACCGAGTATCCGAGTCTGGTATCCACCTCTTTATTTATTATTCATTTTATATAACTATGTTTTAGGCGGCATTTTCAACTTTGACAAGAGTTCTAAACTCTAAAGTGTGATAATAAGTGTGAGTGATGAACGTGGAGATAAATCTGAAAATACAAAGTATCCAATCACAGACCAATCAAAGATCTTTCTCGATTTATTTGTTTTACGAACCTACAGTTACTCGGTATTTCTTCACATTACCATACCTAATTATAATAACTTTTTATTTTCAGCACATTTTCGGTGTCTACAACCAATGGATCACAGATCATTTCGATGGTGAAGGGTATAAAAAATTAGAAGCCGTGATAAACTCATACGAATCATTGATCAACACGAATAAGGCTTTGAAGGTGTACAAAACGTGCATGAATAGAGAGATTAATTTCTTCCAATCATCCGCCTCCCTCCCCCAACAGGGCTAACTTGTACTGGAACAAAGACGAGATTAACACAACCAGACATGACTTTTCACAAGATATTAGGAAGGAAATCCAAGATGGCTGTCTTGAGGTTGTTTAACTGGCAATAGGTGGTTCCATGCTACAGCAAAGAGCAATTATTTTACGATTGTTCAGCTTTAGGATATATAAATTTCATGATATCACACAATAGCTAGATTGATACATAATTTGATGGATATAATGAATTTTACATAATATTAACATTCTAATGTATTTTGTTGCACTTTGGTACATATACGTACGGTCTTCCAGTTTGCAAAAAATCAAAAAAAATATAGCCGCTCAGTGCTGCACATACTGTCTCTGAATACCCTTCTCTCCAAATTAATATGAGATTCATGCATTTTATCGTAAAGTATTTTTTAGACCTCTAGGTAAAGAACCACCTCAAAATTAACAGTAAGGACGCAAGCACATCCTCTCCCAAACATCCCAAATGCCAATCAATTCTATTCTAGATTGCCTTACCAGGAAGCAGCCCTTCGCAATAAGGGGTCTTTTTTAATGATGATAAAACCTCATTGGCCATTTACAGGTGATAGATTGAATCATATAAATATCACGGTTTTCATAAAAAAAATCGTTATAAAAGGGAAACTTGTTTATTAGATGTATAGCGTCATTGCGAGTGTCTAAACATGAGATGGAAATAGTATGAGATAATAATGATTTGAATCATGATGATACCTGGTCGGCTGATAGACACCATCCCTTAGATGCTCCAACATTGGCAGTAAGTTGCTCCTCATTCTTAGCACCAATCACTATAGATGCCACTGAGGGTTTCTGCAGAAGCCACCTCAAGGACACTTGGGCCATTGTTTTACCTGTACAGTTGGAAACAAAAGATGATAATTAAATTTGTTTTCTATTGCATATCGTGGTTGACCAAATCCATGACGTGTAAAATAATCCTTGCTAGCCTACAGGCGTTAATCTTGCCGTCCTAACGTCTAACATTGGCAACTATGCAATATATCATCTAAATATTTACCCTCTTCTTTGGCAATAGCTTCGATTGTATCTAGCAGTGTCCAGGTTGATTCCTGGCTGGCAAATGTGTCCCAGTCGGGCTGTGAGAGAGCCTGCTTCCTAGCGGGGTCCTCCTGGGACCATGCTATTCTGCTCCCACTTGGTGCTGCGTCACTATTTCGTTGCATTTTCCCAGATAGCCAACCACTTCAATTACATATAATTATGACTTTATGAACACATATAGCCTAGTACTCTATGAAAACGATAAAATATACTTTGTTGATTCTGAATCAGAAATATAGGTAATGTAAAAAACTGCAAATACAATTACGGTTCTCAAACAAACTGTCTAATACCACATAATTCTACAATCACGAATCTACTGAAAACATGTTTTGAGAGTGGCAGGATGCTCAATGGCATATGTGGTCACTCTTTATATTTAAAGCTTGCTGTCATATTGATTTTGTTGAAAATACCCTTTTAATGGACTCCATGGCATCAGGGCTATTTCTTCTTGTCTGCAGAGATCACTGATCTCGTACTCAACCTGTCTCGTCAGCAGACTGTAATGCATCTGTGGAGAAAAGAAAACGTAAATGGGCATCAACAGTGTTGACATCTTTACATCAACATCAACGTTCTTTTTGGCAAAGCGGCCGACTTTCGCTAGAAGGCCACTGCTTCAAGCAACGCTGTCAACTATCTTAGGCTTGCAGTTAATTCAAAATGGAACTTTTGCTCTAATGATTCGTAATGATTAGATAAGATGATTAGATTAAATATCCTATGGGTCATTATGTGGTCATAAAGAAACTTTATTTTACGTGTAGTACTTTTAATCAAGAAATAATTACCTGTGTACATATGACTGGCTCTAAGCCCATGTATTTACAGTAATCCACGACCTTCTGTAGCTGCCACCCTGTGAAGTTACTTGCACCTATATGCAGTACTTTACCCTGTCTAGCAAGATCGTTGAATGTTCGGAGTGTTTCCTCAATAGGGGTCCCATAGTCCCAACAATGCATCTAATGAGTAAGCACAAATGTAATATTTGAAAACGCAAACACTTATAACCATTGGAAGCATATAAAACAAACCATCGACCATTTCTACCATGAGCCTATTAATTATCAATATGCTATAGTAAAATAAACAAATCTTTTTCAAAGCAATCTCAAATGAAAAATGCTACAGCTCGATTAAACTTCAGTATCCTACCAAATATAAATACTTTACCGTATATAGATCTACATAGCTAGTTCCAAGTCTGTCAAGACTTTCTTCAATACTTTTGACAATGTGTTTCCTGCTGAGCCCCCGACTGTTGACGTTCTTTTGGTCCATGGGGAAGAACAACTTGGTCCCGATCACAAAGTCATCCCTCTGTTTCCTGAGTTATGAAATTACAAAGACACTGGTGACTTCAGGTTCAATGTATTTGTATTAAAACTTGTTCATGAACTCATTTTTTATAACTGGGATGAAACCATTGATCAAACGCATGTGTCCATTCCATAACTGCCCCATTACTCGGCCAACAGAATCTGTGGATGAGCTCTTGAAACATGCTTCTAGATGATAGCCAATGACACGTGGATAATTATAAAAGTTTGACCGTAGGCTAAGTGATTTTCTTACGTCGCCAACCATTCGCCGATGATCCTCTCACTGTCACCACGACCATGCATGTTGTATACATCAGCAGTATCTATGAAGTTGCCACCAAGACTGGAAAACTTCTCCAAAATCTTGATACTTGTATCCTTGCTACAACCACGCTGTAGAAAAAACAAAAAGAATTAGCTGAAGATAAAAATAACAACAATATATATATGTATTTTATAGTTACTTAATAAGGCTAACAGTAGTTCAAACTGTACACGTTTGAATTCAAATGTCTGAAACGTTTCCTCGTGAAATAAAAGCCAAGCATGTTATTTTATACTTACATCACTCGGGTCACCAAAGATTGCTGTTCCCAGGCACATATTGGACACTTTGAGACCACTCTTTCCAAGGTAGACATAGTCGAACGCGCATTCAGAGGCCATGATGATATCCCAGACCCAATGTATATAAATGCTTACGATTGCTACTCGAGTACAGAAAAATCAAGGTCAGACATATTGATATATCATGTTAAAATATGGTAGTCAGTGAAAGTGACAGATACTATTTGGCATGCCCTTATATAAGAGATCCAGCAAATGTCTGCTGTTAGCAATTCTTGAATGAAACTTGGGCCATTATTTAAAAAGCTTGTGCCTCTTTTATCATCGACTCCTAGAGCAACTGGTCGACGCCTCTGAAATTTAACCAAGTTTTTCAAGGCACCTATCTAAAAAAGGAATATTTCTGAAACTGTTTAAAAAGGTGCAACTGGTGTAAAAGTCACCTGAAAATCATCCTTCAACGGGTACCCTACCCAGGGTTCCCTACTAGTTTATAAATATTGCGGGCCTTTTTCAGAACACGAGGCAGTTTATATATACATCAATGTATTAAAGTGGTTTCATTAACTTAATTCCAACAATCTACATGTTAAAAATCATTGTATGGAGCGCATTCAAGTGACAAAATAAGAAAACCGAGAAACTTGGGTCAAGTAAGAATTATGAGAAACTCAACCCCCTCTTATATTCCACTGGCGGATCTGGGGGCCTGCCCGCCCCCCCCCCCCCCCCCTGGGCGGGTCAAAAAAAATTGGGCCCTAGAACAATTCAGTGGGCGAAATAAGGCCCCAAAAATGTGCCTTTTTGGTCATTACTGGGCCTTTTAAGGCCTTATTTTTAGTTTCAGGTCAAATTTTGAAGAAAATGAGCCTCAAAATTTCAAAATATTGGCCCAATTTTGGGTTTTAGGGGCCCAATTTTTTTTGCGCGGAAGATTTCTTCTCTGACCTGAAATTTGCCCCCCCCCCCCCACCTTGTTGATTCCCAGATCCGCCCCTGTATTCTATTTAAAATTTTAATATATAATCAGTCCGTTCTCGGTTCGTTACATCCATGGGCGGTCTGAGGCCCAAGCACAAGATTTAAATCCCCCTACCCACTCACTGTACACCGTATTAGTGTTCCTGGGCCCATGGCACATGTCTCTGATTACTGGCCGAATCTGGGGTTTGTGTAACAAACCGGGTGACCGGGTATCCGGGTGGCCGGGTAACCGGGTACTTAACGTTCCTTACAGGGTAACTAACTTTCAAAGTTGCACGTACATTTGTAGACTACCCTTCAATATTTTTACGTTATCATTTTACCAAGAACCTGTAAGAGACTGAATTTTGGAAGTCCGAGGTAGTTATTTACACAGTTTGCACGTACGATGACGTTAGTTGCTTGATTTATTGTTTGAGTGATTGATAGGATATCGATGATTATTTAATTTTCTATGATGGCGATTTCTACTAGATATTAAACAAATCTGGAAGATTTACGTACGCGTAAAGTTGAAACGTTATTTGCCGTTTTTATTTGTTAATTAGTGTATGTGATATATAATACAACGTTAGTTGCTTGATTTATTGTCTCAATGATTGACATTATATTAATTTTGTTTGTCGTTTTGCCGGTTGATTTATTGGTAAATAAATTTTGCTGCTTGTTTGGTTGTTTGCTTGATAGTTGTGTCACTGGTACGTTGATTGGGATGTCAGTTGGGCGTTGTGAGGCATAAAATGAAAAAAAATCAATTTCCTAACCCTGGTAGGAAAGAAGGGTACCCGGTCATCCGGTTACCCGGTCACCCCGGTTTTTTACACAAACCCCCGAACCTGGAACGAATAGCCATCATACAGTTATATAGAGTAACTTCAGGATGTGAATATTCTTTCAGGTTCGGCCACCCATTGGATGTTAGGAGTCGATACAGGTCCCTGTGGTAGTAATCGTAAAATAAAAACTTACTTCGTCCTACATGTACTACATGTAGGAGTTGTTTTGTTCTCCTATTAAGAAGAGTTTCGTGAGACGCCAAAAATACTTTCTTCAACAGTTTAGGCGGGAGAATTCAAAAGTTCAATGGAACATGAACGTCAATCTGTCAATTGCCTGCATTGGATTTGTAAATAAATTAATGTAATTACAGCTATTGTCATTCTTTCAATCGACCCGATTCACATGCTGGGGAGAATACAGATTAGCTGTTAGCAGGCCTGTCAACTGTCCCGCAATTTGCGTATTTGTCACGCATTTGCTGAAGAATTTGAAGTCACGCCAGTTATTTTTGCGTGACAGAAAATGTCACGCAAATACGCATTTTACCTGGTAATTGTCAAGCAAAAATCTTTCTGTAGAAAATTTTCTAAAAAAGATCGTCTACACAGCAAAAATACGAACGACGGGAAAAAAAACGTACGCATTTCGTTCGGACTTTTCACGCGAATTACGGATATGTCACGCATTCCGTTCGAATTTTTTCGTACCAACACCCCCCCCCCCCCCCCCCCCCCCCCCCCCGTTGATGGATGTTTGAAACGCGAGCGTAGCGAACGCGAAAAATTTGAGGTGTTCAAAATTTGGCAAGATGTAATAAAATTTAAACCAAGGTGTTCAAAATTTGGATCAAGGTGTTCAGATTTGGACCAAGGTGTCCACATTTTGAGGGGAGGTGTTCAACATTTCCAAGTCACTCATGTTAGGTGTTCCCAAGTTGACAGGCCTGTGTTAGTGTAGGTTGAAAGCACGAGTTGTGATAATACAGTATAGCCTTAAGTTTACTCCCTGCGAAAATTATGTGGAGTTTGATAATCTAACATTGCTCTCGAAGTGAGTAAGTATAGCCTAGTGGTTGAAGTAGTTGACAGTCTCTGAACTAGTCTGGCATCAGTACGTCCCCAGCCCGTCTCCTTTATTCTGACAATGCTGGGCGTCTTGTAGGGGCGCGGTTTTATGCGGACATGGACACCCATGGACTCGAACCTTCAAAGCCCAACCTTGGGCACATTGCAGTTAGGCTACCAAGCCTATATCTTGAAGGATGGATATCGAAATACTTCCAACATTTTAAGTCTAGCGAACTCTCTTCACGGTGACCAAGTGTTAACAGTTGAGATTGCCCCGGACGTGTTTTTTCAAACAATTTAGACGTGATTTTTGGAAAACTTGGGCCGGGAGGTAGGCTGATAAATTTGGTTATGAAATTGCTGTCACTTGACTTTATGTAAATGTAAGTAATTTATATTGCTTACCATACTATACATGTATATCATAACTTCGGGTATCCGCAAACACGAATCTTATGCTATAACCTTGTTAAATCGGAAAATGAGCGATTCTGACAGGTGTTACACACGTTTTTGCCTGAAAATCACTAGCCTTCCTTGTATTCAATGGATACATCGATTCATAAGGAAAGTACTCGAAATATGTGCGAAAACCACAAATTAAAAGAGCTTAAATAAGTAACAATTGACCAACTATTTTTGGGATTAAACTAATATCCCTTTTTCCCTAATATCCTTTAAACTAATATTCCTTCTCCATCGTTAACTCCACTTTCTACATTTACAGTCATTTATGGCAATTCTAAGATAAAGATAGTTAAAATATAAACACGATTTAGAGTAGTGAATATTATTCCACGTTGTTCAATAGATAGTCTGTTTGAACTTAATTAAATAACACTAAATGCAAATTTAGTACGTATTTCTGGCTTTTTTGGTATATAAAAGCGAGTACTATGAAGTATGATGGAATGCTCCCCAATATAGATAGGTGGGAATGAAGAAGAACATCTTAGGTAGAAGTCGAGTTATGTTAGTTTGTAAAATCTAGAATATTCTTATCTTTTTGCTCCATTCTAACTAATGTCGTATTCCATGTTCTTACAAAACACGTCGAAATCGTTTGAAAAAACACGTCCGGAACAATTTCCAATGTTAAGACTTTAGCACCGTGCTCTTCTAGGATCGGATTGAGCTGAACTTTGGACCATACGGAGTCAAAAAACTGGAATCAGCACCCTTGAAGCTAATTGAAAAGAACGTTATTTTTTGTATCATTGAACATGTAATCATAAAACGTCTCATAAATATTCTCTCGTTTCAATCTTCAAAGAGCAATATAGTCATAATATTCGTATATCAGCTGGCGCTAATTAACTATAAACAAACGTGAAGAGTGACTATAAAGTACATCTGACAAAGAGTTGCATACTCCTTCAGGAGACGGTATGATCAACCATGCCAATGATTTGAAAATGTGAAGTGCCGCATTGCATCCAGATCTTGAAATAGTGAATTATCTGTCTAAAACTTGAATGGTATACTGTGTGATGACCCTTTTAATGTATCATATTGTGAATATTCATCAAAATCTGGGCTGTTAAACTTATAAACCAAGGTTTTTCAGAAAAGTTGAGAAAGTCATGGAAATGATTTAAATAACATAACTGTATAAATCAAAGTGATTCTTGTACAAAACATTTCACTGAATTTAAATATGCCATTTAAAAGAAGAAAATGCAAGTCATTAGAAGTCTAATATGCAAATTTCACCAAAACGAGATTTAATGAGATTTAAAAACCTACTATGGAAAATGTAAGTTATTCGAAGAATACTGTATACAGTCAGTGTGTCCAAAAACAAAGGCACTCGTCACCCCACCTTTTGCCTCAACAGTAGTCTCAATAGATACATATTGTATCATACTAAAACATCCGTCTGTCAGTAAGTTACTTTGTCAAGATCAAAAGTATATTTGGCAATGAACTTCATATGCATTTTCAAGGGAGGCCTATTCACCTATATTTAAATGAAATTGTGTTTAAAGGTCCAATGTAAAGCTATGACCGTCTAAAATCACTTGCCATACTGCACATGGACCTTTGCAATTTGCTAAAACCGTAGAGCTGACCTTTTTGTTGAATCAGCACCTGTTGTCAGACCTTGGTTTTGGAGCTGTGTGACGCACATTAAAGCAAAGTAAATGTTAAGTAACCGCATCATATCATATGCAAAAGAGAAGCCTCTTAGCCCGATATCACCCCCACGGGGGTAAAGCCACGATGATACCATGAGCACATGCTTTAAGGATCCGCGTTGTTTGAACCTACCGCCGAGCTCACTTATACATTAAGACCCGTTACACAGTCATGATACCGCCGAGCAAGCTCATTGCATCATCGGGTCTGATTTACCCCCGTGACCCCTATCATTTTGCTACGGTCTCTCACATCTTCTTTAAGTACCCGCTACCCAAACGTCATCCACTTTCCCTCGATTCCCTTCATGTCATTTTTATTTCACTTTTCTCCATTTTTACAGTAAATTTCTCCATCACCTACATAAGTTCCATTTTCCATACCATGTCACTCTTTCCTCAAGCTCACGAGTTCATGTTCTATGTGCATTTTTAAACAATTTTGTTATCATCTGGGAACACTGCGCCTCAAATTATTGAATAAACCGTCAAATATATTTTGACATGAAATTAGAAATCTAAATGGATTTTTTTCAAATGATAACCGTTATGAAATGATTTCCGTTTTACAAAATTTGGGCTCACACTATTCAAAAAGATCCCTTTTCGAAAGTGAGGCAAATTTCTAACATTGATATCCACCCTGAATACATTGATACAAATGTGTATGCTCAGCTGTAAGACACAGGGCCTTTAAGATTCTTCTAAAAATGACTCAAAACACTACGTGCTGGTTGTGCTCCTTGACTTTGGACAGATATAGAGTGTATAATTAGCTAATGTTATCTCATACATAATACAAAGAGTAGTACGGCTTGCTCCCTTCTATCACGTTCAGCATGTACTTATGTGTGTTTGTATTGTATCAGTGTGATTTTTATACCATCGATAAATCATTGTGCCCTTTATTTTATAGCAAAGCTTTTTAACAAAGGAATCTATTCATGAAGACATTTTTATGTACTGGATAAAGCATAAGAATGAGATTTTATAAGAAATAATACACCGAAGGCCGAAGGCCTGAGGTTATTATTTCTTATCAAATCGAATTCGAATGCTTTATCTTACTTAAATCACACACATTCTTATTACAAGTAAATGGTATATTGCAGGTAAATGGTCAATGATCTAATCTGGAAAATTTTATTTCTTTTGTGTTGACTGTTCATGTAGGGGTAAGTGGTTTGATA